TTTGCGTCTAGTATATATATATATATATATATACACACACACACTCACGTATATATACACATACGTAATGTATAGAAGTTAGTTGTAGACGTAACTCACACATGCATGTTCCTAATTGTATTGTGTCAACATCTTTGCTTTCCTTAAAGCGTGTTCCGTTTCTTTTAAGTGTTATTCTTTTTGTTAGTGGGGAGGGTATTCTAAAATTCTTTCCCCGGCCACAAAACCCATACGTTACTTCCTAAAAGCTCAAAACTTTCACATGTTAAATAATATATCATGAAATTAATCGGTGTTGAATCACGAGCAAAATTCCAATGGCACATATATATTTGCTTGAACTCTACAATCCCAAACGGAATTTAAGATGACCGACTGATTACCAGAAAAGATGTGAAAGCGAGATATTAGAGCTTTCGTTTTTCCTGTAAAGCATAACCTTTTATTTTCCCAAAAAAAAAAAAAAAGACTTTCTCCGTAGTTATGTAAAAATAAACTACTAATAATATTTTATTTTTTAACTGTCTGATCTGTATTAAAATTCATTTGTTCTACATATTTTTTAAATTTAATGTGATTTTAACAAGATCTAACTGTTAAAAACTAACACTACTAATAGAGCGGATTACCAGAAAAACTTTTAAAAAAAAAAAAAAAAAAACCTTTTACCTTTTTTTTAGAATCCCTATAATAAGATGTTGAGATATGCAAAAAAGGAGAAAAAAAAACAACTTACATCAGAATTACTAAATTTATAAAATCTTATGGCAAGTAAAAAACAGAGAATAAACGGCTGTAGTTTAGGGAATTAAAATGTGATCAAGTTTCATTCAATTATTACATATATTTTTGAATTCATTAAGCAACAAAAAAAAACATTAAGCAACAAAAAAAACATTATAATTTTAATATGACATTTAAAATTGTGTTTTATCAATTGTCTTTTTATACCTATCTCACCTTATAGGTTGTGTTTGGAGTTGTTTTTATTTTTATTTTTTACATTTTCCGAGGAAATAAAATAAAAATGGGAGAGAAACGATGTTTAGCACAGTTAAAGTCAAAAAACAGAAATGAAAATAATTTTTTAGTTTAGTGTAAAATGAGAGAGAAATGAAAAATGAATTTTAGTCATTTTTTATTTTTTGTTTCTGTTTTCTTCTCTCTCGAGTAGAGAGAGATAGACATTAATAGATTTTTTATACTGAAAATAATCTCTTGATAAAACTACCAAACACATTTTTAAAAATAATTTATGTCTAAAATTAAAAAAGTTTTCATTTTTATTTTTATACAAAAAAATAAAATTATTTTAAAACAAATTTTAAAATATCCATAATTCTCCTTTTTTTTTTCCATCCTCTACAAAAATTCTGTCCTTTCTTTTATTTTTTGTTTGTTGACAAATCTTTCTCAATGTACACATAAAAAGAGAAAAACATGAAAATCTATCTCACTTTATCTTTGTTTAAAGGGTTAAGGATCTATACTCACTCAAAACAAACGCGCGTGTTCACACGCAAGAACTGTGGCAGATGATTTTTCTGGGAAGGTGAAGAAGACGCGCGAAAAGAAGAGTGAGCGGAGTATTAGAGGGAGGTAAAAGTAAGACGTGGAAAGAGAACAATAATAGAGGACAAAACTGATAAGAGGCGTTAAAGTGGGGGCAAAATTTAAAAGTAACGGAACTGTACTGCAACGGACTACGGAAAAAGAAGATCAGTCCGGACCTCTAATTGAGCTGCCATCAAAGGTAAAAACGTTCTTCGCACTTTGCGCCATTCTCTCTCTTTACACTTTTTATTAGTTTTAATTTTAACATTAAATTTTAAATTTTTTATGAAAAAAAAAAATTATTATAGTAGAATAAAAAATAATGGATTAAACGCATCGAATCAAAAAAAAAAAAAAAAAAAAAAAAAAAAAGAATAGTCCAACCGATAACAAACAAAAAGTAGGAAAAAGAAATTAAATAAAAATAATTTGTACCCTAGGTCCCTAAACTTCCAACCCTTACACTTAAATCCCCATTTTGCAAATCTAGATAGTTGGGGTCCCCAAATATGTAATTCCTTGACGTCCATAGGTCCCTTTTTTTTTTTTTTACTTGTGTTGTAACTGTCCACCCCCACATGCAATTCACGTGCCATTTCCAATTTTATTAGAAAAAAAATAGCTCCCAAAACTTGTGAGAGGAGAGAGAAGCATTAGCTTAGGCCCCGTTCATTTCACACATTCGAGTTTAGAATTCGTATTTTGTTATAGTAAAAAGCTTTCAGAAACAGTCACATTTAACTTTTTTGTTATAGTAAAAAGCTCTCACACAAAGTCACATCTCAACTCGAATTAAAAACTCAAATTAACGAACTAAATGGGCCCTAGAAAGAAGATTTTTAGAGGTTTTTTTTTGGACTAATCTATGGCGGTGGGATGGGGAAGGCGGCGGTGGAGGCAGGGGTGGTGTGTGCGTCAATCATCGTGGTGGTGTACGCGTCAATCATCGTGGTGGTGTATGCATCATCAACGTTGGTAGCTTGGCATGGGGTGCAGAACTTGGAGCAATAGGCCCATACCATGGCAATACTATAGAGTTCAAGAATAAGAATGTGACGCTCATTGGAAAATTGAAACAAGTCGTTAACGCCATGACCATAGAGATGCATACCGACCTCACCTCTAAAAGTGTTAACACGATTTAATTAGATGCTCATCGGCTACGTTGATAATCTTCCCATTGTGTGTGTATTTATAATTATATATATATATATGTATAGGAAAACTTGTGTGGTAAAAGTAAAACTAAGAAGGGAAAATTATTATTATGGTACCTTGTAGTTTTTTATTTTATCAAGGTATTCCGGTGTTATAGGAATCTCTTTGAGTATCTTGTTATTAAAATAGTATCATCCGGATGTCTCGAGCGCGTTTTCTATGACATGAAATGATGATTTTGCAATTTCAATATGAAAACTTCTTTTAGCAAAAAGATTGGAAAATAAAAATCAAATATGAAATTAAAAAGAAGAACAAAAAAATAACATACAATATATTTTGAATTGAAAGATCAAAATTTTCATTCCATGTCCTTAATTTTGGCATTCGAAGGTTGTTGGTTATTGAATTTACCTTTTTATTGAATCATTATAATAAGATAAAAAGTAGATATAACATTTAAAATGACATTATGTGTTAGAGCACAATATAAAATAATTTATTAATATGTTACTTTACACTGAAAATATGAACATTTGGTATTTGAAGATGGTGCGAGCTTTTTATGATGATTTGTAATTAGACTAGTAACAGTAGGAATATTGGGTCATGAGATTTGAGTGTCTTGGTTTTGATTGTAATTTGAGTTTCTTGATTGTACATTGTATCTTAAACCAAATAATAATAATTAAAAATAATTTAAAAAATAAAAAAAAATGCAATGCATCTAGTATTACATTTAGAATTTAAAAATAATAATTTGGTTTGACAATGTTCGTATGAACAAAGCGTGAAAAATGCAAAACAACACAATTTTCACACTAAAATTACAGAAAGTAAAAAAGGCATGTGCATAATTATAATTAAGGAACGTAAAAGAATAACTTTCTATCTTGATGAAGCTATTTCTAAGTGACTCTTCAAAAAACTGCAAATATAAACATCACAAAATTATTATTATTATTATTATTATTATTACTAAAATTGACTAGTGTAATATTTTATCCTAAGTTTATTTTGACTGAAACACATGCTCTTATAGTTGTTAATTCCCATTTGAAGTCACATAAGTTTATCATCTATATGCCAAAATCAAGTTTACATTATTATGGAACTTTATTTTTTTTTTGCTGAAGAATACATTTTTATGAAACTTGGTGACATGAATCGTGACATCAACACGCATTCTTCACATCATTTTTAATTTCAAAGAGACATATTAGAAGCGTAACTCCGGCTTGATGTTTTCAATTGAATCTTAATTTTAGAATTTGTACAAGGCCTGCAGAGAAAGTGGGGGAAAAAAAAAGTGTTTCAAACTTGTGCACATAAAACACGACTAATCCATCACATATATTAGTTTGATAGTATTGGTATATATAAGGACTGTGAACCTTATTTATTTATTTATTTATTTTTTTGACTCAGTCATCAAAGCCATTGCATAAAATATAAATTGTTTAAACATCTTACTTAGAACATCACTAGAAAGCTCAATTAGTGTAATGAAAAGATTGGAACTTGTCAAGTCTCTTCGGAATATTTTATGTCAATTATTTATCTCTAATCACCACACTCGAGTAAATTAAAGAAAAGAACCTCCGTACATAGTTTTTATTTTATTTTATTTTTTGAAATGAAGTTTGCTTTATTCAATAATCTAATATAAAACAATTGGTCACTTCTTAATTTGATAATCAAGGAGAATATTGTAATATGTGGTATTATAAAATTCTAAACTGTCAAATTTTTATTGTATTTTATAAAATTTATACTTGTTCTAATTTTAATTTAATCCGACAGTTATGATTTTTTTTTATTCTACGAAAAAAAAAATCACATAAAATAAAAACCTTCCCCTGTGATGTCCTACTCTATAAGTCTATCGACAATATTGTCTATACACATTCATGTGAAGTTTGAAAAGGAAAAAGCCAAACAATGCCTTAAGACTAAGAAAATAATAAAATAAGACAAATGAAGAATGCCAAACATCCTGTTTTACCTGTCCGTGAATAAAGACCAAAGTTTTAGACGCAATACATGGCAAAACCCAAAAATACATACAATTAAAAAAATAAAAAATAGAAAGAATAAAAAAGAAAAAAGAAACCCAAAAAACAAAAAACTGAAAGTCACTAATTGTACCTGCCAAGTACGCCTACCAGTACCTCCCAACCTTTCTCTCATCATCACCTTTCCATGTCTTACATTACACAATACACACACACACACGCCTTTATATATATTCCCCCTCACACCCCCAAAAACCCACTCCCACTCTTTTTCTCTCTCTAAACCCATAAAATTCTTTTCAATTAAGTCTTTCTCTCTCTCTCTCTCTCTAGAAAACAGAATGAAGCAGTTGATCCGACGGCTCTCGAGAGTGGCGGACTCCTCGCAGTACTGCCTTCTCCGGTCGGACTCCTCGACGGCGGCGCGACGGGCGCCGAGAAGAACGGAGTCGTTTCGCGTGAAATTGCGGCGGCGGGCGGCGTCGTCGGAGACGGCGGCGGCGGGGGTGCCGTCGGGGCACGTGCCTGTGTACGTCGGGGAGGAGATGGAGAGGTTCGTGGTGAGCGCGGAGCTCTTGAACCACCCGGTGTTTGTGGAGCTTCTGGAGAAGTCGGCGCAGGAGTACGGATACGAGCAGAAAGGCGCTCTCAGAATCCCCTGCCATGTCCTTCTGTTCGAGCGCCTTCTAGAAGCTCTCCGCCTCGGTCTCCCTCCTCACTCGCCGCTCCTCCGCGACCTCCTCTCCGATCACCATGACCAGATCCCAATCTCTTGATCTTCAATCTTCATTTTCGTTTTTTAAATTTTGATTCTGTAAATATATGCTTCTCGATCGGGAAGATGAGAAGGAGGAATATTACGAAGACGACGAAGGATTTAGGTTTTTCTTTTTGGCCTTTTTTTTTTGTTTTGTTTTGGATTTGGTGTAAAGGAAAAGATATTCTGCTTGTAGTAGGTGCTAGTTGCTCTCTGTTTACTGAAACAGTAGTGTTCATTTTTTTCGCCGTCCAATTTCTTTATGTTTTTTTGTTTATTATATATAATGGATGGTGTTTGGAATGTCGGAAAGTATGGGAAAATGGAGGAATGTTGAAATCTCGATTCTCGACTACTTTTAACTGCAATTTTCTTCTCCGTTCGGATCCTGCCTTATAATGAAACGGACAAACAAATCTTCCTTTTCAGTCGTTTTTTCCAGAATTCTCGACATCCAAAAAAATTCGGGCTTTTGTGCGTGCTTTCTGTTTTTCATTTTCTCGGCATCCAAACAAGCAGGTGAAAGAAAGAAGAAAAATTTTATACTTTGTAACTTTCTCGGCCACCGCCGATCTTGAGAAAAAAAACGACGGCGACGTCGACGACGTTTTATTCTCGCCGCGTTTGAAGCGAATTTACGGAAATGGGTCTCTGGCGAACCATATTCGTATTTCGTAACGTGTGACATAATTACAAGGGGCCGGGCCATGTTCCGCAAGTCAGAACCGTAATTTCCGGATTTTGCGGTGGCTCTCTGCTGTCACTTTTCCGCCGTGACGCGATGAGAGTTAGCGGGGGATAGAATTCGTAATTATTCGGATGTTGCGAGGGTGGTTTGGTAATTTCCGTTCGACTTGTACGGACTACGGGGGATAATGATGGGTTATGCTATTTTGACGGTAGTAGTTGAAAAGCCCCAGCGTGCAAGAACTGTCAGCCTCTTTATTTTCCCTCGAATTAATTAATTATTTTCACAAGTCCTTTTCTTTTTTTATGTGAGAATATTTTGAGAATTCTGATTTTGATTATATTAGACTTAAAAATATAAATATAACAAAATATTGCATATATTTTACTCTATACCTTAAATAAAGAATATATTTACCCTATTAAGAATTAGTATATTTTAGTTGCCGGTATTTTGTGCTTCTAAAATTCGAATTTTTTTTATAAATTTTTTTTTTTGTTATAGATATATATTATTCTAAACGATTAGATATTCGCAAAATTTGTATTAGTTAGCATTCTTTTTAATTTTATTCTGATTTAATGTTAAGAGAGTATAATCATTCTAGATTGTCAAGCAATGTCAACAGTAATTGACGGCTAATCTACTTGAAGAAGAATTATTCAGTATATTAAGTGTATCACGTTATATTATTTATATGGTACATCTATCTAATAAAATTGTATCATTTAAATATTTTGTCTATGTTAATTTTTTATTTTTATTTTTTATTGTGCTTAATTTTAAAGTTAAGTCAAATATAAAGAAATTTGGTAGAATAATAAATGGTTTTTACTCAATAATCAATGTAAATACCTATTAAGAAAGAGAAAAATAAAAGTGAAAAGTTAACATAGACAAAATATCTAAATAATACAATCTCATTAAATGAGTGTACCACATAAATAATATAACGTGCTACACCCAGTATATTAAATAATTACTTTTATAATTTGAAAAGTTAATACTAAAATATACGATTAATCGACTTCTTTCGTTTTCAAATTACTGAAGAAACCTACCAAAATTACTGTGCATCTAAACGATTGAAATTTTCCTATTCCACCAACTCAAGTTTGTGTTGGAGAAATTTTTTTTAAAAAAAAAAAAAAATCTTTGATCTTAAAAAATTAAGGAAAAGTTAAACAAACACACCTAGGGTGAAACATAAGGCACAATAACGAGGCAGTTAATATGCCAACATCAATGATTTCAAGAAAGTGTTAAAAGGAGGAGCCGTACATACATCCACCAACATATATAATGTATAGTTTGAGATAATTCATGTAAAATTTATTATTGTCAGATAAAGGCAAACAAACCTGCACAAATCAAGGTGTTCTTTGAACCCCACCTAAACCAAAACACCAACATATATGATTAATTCCATAAGAGAACATCTATCACCTAATATGGATTAGGTAGCATATTGTAGGTCCTCAAAATATATATTATGCTTATTCTGACTTGATATACTAACACTACTTTAGCCATTTGATTGGTGAGTTTAAGGGGATGTTTGGTTGGAGGATTCAAACCATGATTTGAATCATGGTTCATGGTTCTCTACAACATTTTTTCTCACAAAAAATACACGTAAATCGAAAATAGTTCTAATCACATGATTCTAATCCATGAACCAAGCGTCTCCTTATCTGCTTTCTCTATTTTTTATTTTCCTGTCTCGGTGGTTATTTTTCTATTAATTTATTCGTCATGTCATCTAAATATAGAAAATTGGACCAAACAAATAAGAATAGAATACTAAAAATACTTAAACAATTCACGATGTGTCAAAATCTAATTAAAGAGACAACTATCGAGATAAGAAAATGGAACAACACATCTTGATTCTTGATTGGTTAGGTAAAATCACATAATAAATATTCCAAGGGAAATTTTAATGTTTTGTACTTATAATTTAATGATATTCAACCTTTACACAATTTAGGCTAATTCGTGTGGTATATGGTAATTGGTTTTCTTTTCTGGTTTTGGGTTTTGGCTGGATAGCTTGTTATGGTAATTAGTTGATTTGCTGATTTAATTAGGTATGTAAATAAATACGATCTAATTAATTATAAAAAATGTGTGTATTGTAAGTTGCTCAAACTAACTCATGTTATTCAACAATGAACTCTTTTGCTATGATAAATTAGCCATTTAAATTTACTAATTGCTCTCTAGCACATTATTTAAGCCTACGTCATAAAAGATTGAAAAAAACTCTAGTGAACCACTTGGATACATTTATAAAGATTAAAACATTACTTTTACCCGTTCAAAAAAACATTAGTTTTAGAGACACATTTTTAAAGTGGATTGCGCAAACGACATAAAAGTTCACTAGCTATCCTTGTTTAAATTATTTAGCAGAAATAAAGATCCAAATGATGATGACAAATGGTCGACTATAGCCGGCCGAAACATAATTAACCATTTTCAATTCGTTAGTCTTCTAAATCAAATTGTTTGATTCCAAAATTCATTTTTAACAAACTAACTGGTGATCATCAGCCGTCCTTAAATAAGTCTAAGTACAAAATACTAATTAACCGATCGAATTTGATCAATAGTTAGTGTAGCCTCTCTAGAATCTAGTTATGGTACTATGTATGATTTCACATATGGAGTCCGTAGTGTGTGTATATATAGGGACACGAAAATGCCATATATATATATATATATATATATATACATGAATTGTGAATCATGATTCATAATCATTTTTAATTTACGTGTATTTTTTATGAGAAAAAATACTGTAATGAATCACGAATTATAATTCGAATCATGATACAAATCTTTAAACTAAACGCACTCGCATTTGAGAGAGAGAGTGAAAGATGATATCGTACAATTTTTTTTTTTTTTTTTTTTTTTTTTTTTTTTTTTTTAAATAGAATCAATATTGTACATCTATATCTTTAAAGATAATGACTAGTGAGTAGGCTAGGCTAACGGGTATAAAAAGGATATCATTGAAGAAATTTGATCATCATATATAGTCATAGACAATAACTAGTGGGAGAATCGTCCTTTCCTTTAGGTTTTTTTTTTTTTTTTTTTTTTTTTCATGTTTGTTCATGACCCCACAAGAGAAATTTTGGCTGAATTTGTGGAAAGACTTTCTCATGAATCACGTAAGAATCCAATAATATATATTGTGAGGACATATATACATATGATATATATAATATTAACGCAATATTGTGATTGGTATTTAAGGAGTAAATCAGTAAACTTTCTTAGACCCACGTAATATTAACGCAATATTGATTTGAATTTTTAATTCGAGTTAAGATATGATTTTATGCGATAACTTTTTATTATAGTAAAAAAGTTAAATGTAACTGTTTCTGAGAGCTTTTTACTGTAACAAAACTCAAATTTTATATTCAAATCGGTAAAATAAACAAGCCTTTAATATTAGACCCACGTAAAAAGATATAGCATCCGTAGTACTAGTAATGCTATTATATAACCATATATATATATATATGTATATATTTTCCCTTTTCGGCCACAAAGAAGATAAGGCAGGACCGAAATGTGTGAAGCCAAAAACATGAAAACAGATATCAAGATACACATGATCGTCACAATGCCACTAAGCGCCTATGGACGATATATTTGTAACGCTTGTTATATATGTAGTGTAGAAACGTGGAAAGAAAAAATCAGCTTTTTTGATCTTTTGATTCACTTTTTTTTTTTTTTTTTTTTGGATTTTGGTCCTTTTCTCAATTCATAATATTGATGAATGTTTTTGCCGATTAGATGATAAGTCAACATTTGAAAAAAAAAAAAAAAAAAAAAAAAAAGAAAGAAAGAAAATTGGCCGAAATTTATGACCAACTCACTTGATCACCCCGGTAGTACACTCTACTTGAGCATGCAGCTAAAGTTGTGGCTGCAGTTTGACTCTTATTATTAATTTATTATTGGAATATTCGACGACTCACTCTCTGCTTTATTTTTATTTTTATTTTTATTTTTTTATGTTTTATTAATTTTAAACTCTAATATTGTTCTGTAGAAATACCGTTAGGTGCAATCTTAACACGTAGTGTATATAATGCAAATTAATAAGTACATAAAATATGGTTGAGAAACTGATTATCATTTGTATGGTAGTGTGGATGTGCAGAGAACTAAAAAAGAATTGAAAAATGTATTGGAAAGAACGATGATTTAGCACTGGAATTAGATCACGGATTATTTATATTAATTACATAAATTTTTATTTATATTATACACACACACACACATATATATATATATATATATAATATTCAACTCATCTGTTCTTATTACATTGCCCCTCTTACCAAGAAATTGGAAAGTTCCAAGAATCTTAATTTTTTATACGCAAGTTCATACACAGTTGGAGAATTTACAGTATTGTAAGAAAGGAAAAAAAAAAGGGCTTAATATATTTTTATTATCTTTATAAGTTTGCACCGAATTAGCTAGCACCTAGCAATAGAAGTGAAGTATTTTTCTGTTTTTTTTTTTTTTCCCTTGATAAACGCCAAATTTTACTGACACTTAATTGGCATGATTTTTAAATTTGATCATGTATGTATATATCAGGAAAGATATTACAAAATTAGTAATTTATAATGTTAATTATGGAAGCGATAAAAGAGGACGAAATTGGCAAGATTAATTGTATACATTAATTTAGAAGAGCTTTGAATATTGATAATTAGAATGATGTGGACAGTCTCTAACTAGAGCTTAATTATATAATATTTAATATTTTATTAATTAATATTCAATAATCTATAAGCCGAAACATGCCATATTAGCGGTAGCAGAATATTTTATATAAGCTGTGAACAGCTTTTCATAAGCCAGGCTATCAAAGTACTTAACGTATATAATACCAGCTAGCTGCAAAGGTTAGTTACATATATTTACAATTAATTAATGTATAATCTCCTAGAAAATTGTTAATTATAATTTATACCTATTTATGGTACGATATGGACTTCATGATTGACCAATATGGAATATTGTTTAAAATTAAAACATATATATTATAATCTGATCTTTTAGAAAACAAAAAAGAAAAAAAGATATCAAGTTCTTGGAGTTAATTGGTTGGTTATGAACGAAGATTCAATTCAATGATTAATCTGAGAATTTTAATGTTATAGATCAAGCTTAATACGCGTGCCAGATTGATGGATGAACCTTTATATTAATTATAGACATTATATTTAGGCTAAGATAGTATATTTTTTCTAATATTCCAATGGATTATATATCCAATAAACTAAACAAAATTTAAATTAAAAAAATTAAACGAGGCTTAGAGTCTAGAGATAAGAATTTGTTATGCAATAGTTTCTAATTACATCTCTTAATTATAACTTATTTAACTATAATTTTACGTACATCAACTTATAAGAAACTAATCTTTCTTTTAAATATATAGTTAAGGGTACAGATCAGTTCTATACTATATCATAATACCATGCAAAAATTGACGTATAACAGAGAATTTATTTTATGTTTATCTGTATATTTTTTAGACGGTAATGAAATATATTCATTAAAGAGTCATTAAAGGGTTAGGATTCAATACTAAAGTTAAAAAAACGGGTATCACTTATATAATTAGATAATACAAACACACTTTTATCACAAAAATGTAGAGAATTCCTTTATAAAGTGGCATTATAAAAAGGTTCGACCACGTAAAAATAACTTAAGATGAGCCATATAAAAAAATAAATATTAAATTATACTTTTTTAAGGTTATTGTATCTGTTACACCATAATTTCTACGTGCATAGTCTAAAACCGGTTCATGAAGAGCATGACCAGAATTTATATATATATATATATATATATATATATATTTATATATATAACGTATATGTTGGAACCAACTGTACAACGCGTGCCAGAACAGTAGGACGAAAGTGCATGCATGGCAAATTGGCATGGCCTTGATTAGCGCCCAGAGGCACATGGCATCTGCTTTTGGGATTCTGAAGTTCTCCATAATTAGTACTACTTCTACTACTACTTGGAGTCACGTTCTCAAGAATCATATTCAATATATATGCCTAGAATATGTATTGTTATGAATAGTAAATGTACTATTCAATCAAAATTATTATGCGAACTCATTTAAAGTTATTATGTGCAAATAGTAATCGTAATAAGTATGGTACAAATAATAATAACTGTGAATAATATCGAAATTTTTTTGATAAATAAAGCTTTAAAACTTTTCATTTTATATACATTCATAAAATTAATGAAACTCATTCTCTAGTTTCTCTTTTTAAAGTTTTTCTTCTTAGTTTTCGTAATACGTTATCAGCACGAACGTTCTGTTCCTACTGCGATTGTCTATATTCATTAATTCAAAAAAAGGATGCTCTGATCTAATTACAAGCATCTACCTTAAAATTAAAAGAAAGTAGATCCTAACCCTAATCCTACTACAAGTTTCTACCCTTATTAATTTAAGTGAAAGGTATGTAAATATACTATATTTATTTTATATTCATACAAAGGAGGCTATGCTACAAACGTATTATAATTTTTATAATTTTATCGTCATACACCATTCGAAAAGTTTACCGAGTAATTTGGCGTGTTTGTATTCTCATAAATGAACGGCTATATAGCCTGCAGGTAATAATTTATCATTGCACTTTCTACATGCATATTACTATTCTCATCTGTTATATAACGACTAGTTTTTACTTTATAAAAATTAGTTTTTCTTAAACCATACAATTCACTTCTCATCTTCTCTTCCCTCTTTTCTTAATATTTCTATCTTTCACTTCTCATAATCTCTTCACTATTCTTAATATAATCTTCACGATATGGCGAGTATGATGATGATGTTTGTTATTTTAGTAGCCATTTTCTATATTTTTACTTTTTAATTGGAGATCATTCTCCACACGATTTTCAGTTTTTTCTTGTAATACACACAATTGTAATATTATCCTTTTTATTTATTACTATTATGTAATTTTAATTGTACTCTTCATTGTAATAATAATATGGTGATTCTTATTAGATCGATGTTCTGTTATAGTTATCATCATGTCAAATCTTGCCAAACTTAAATTCGTTGCACTCGACATCACGGAAAATAATTATATGTATTGGATCATAGATGTACAAATGCATCTAGAGTCAATGAGTCTAACCAATACTATTAAGAAAATAATAACAAGTCACCACAAGAAAAGGCGAAAGTAATGATTTTCCTTCGTAAACACCTTGATGAAGGCTTGAAATGTGAATATCTCATGGTTAAAGATCCATTTGTCCTTTGTAAAAGTTTGAAGGAGCGATACAACCACCAGAAAGAGGTCGTACTTCCCGCCACTCGCAATGAGTGGAACAATTCACATTTTTAAGATTTTAAGAAAGTCAACGACTACAACTCTGTCATGTTTAGAATTGTTTCACAACTGAAATTTTGTGGAGTAAGTATCACAGATGGTGAAATGCTAGAGAAAACCTACTCCACCATCCATGCATCTCACATTACTTTGCAAAGATAATACCGTTTGCGTGGTTATAAGAAATTTTTTGACCTAATCTCAACTCTTCTTGTGGCAGAGAAAAACAAAGAATTGTTGATTAAAAATCATCAGTCTCGTCCCACTAATTCAGCAGCATTTCCAGAAGCAAATGTTGCATTCTCTAAATATCTGGGACGGGGATAAAATCGTGGTCGTGGTCGAGACCGTGGTTGAGGACGTGGTAGAAGTGGTTATTACAACCCTTCACAAAATGATGTGATCTAGAAGAAGCGTCATGACAAAAGAAGAGATGCTGATGCAAGTTGTTCTCAGAATCCTGAAAATTTCTATTATAGATGCGATACTAAAACACATTGGTCTAGAATTTTTTGAACACCAGAACATCTTTGTAAACTTTTCAAGTCATCCTTAAAGGAGAAAGAAAATGAGGTAAATTTTAATGAACATCCCGATCCTGTAAATAACTCAACCCATTTTGATGTCTTAAACTTCATATGTGACTATACAAACAAGATTATTAGTGATAACTAGATATATATATATATATATATTATGTTCTTGTGTATTTGCATTGCATTTTATTTTTGTATTGGATATTTTCTATGTATGTTGTACTTCTTTACATAAAATCCTATGTTATGTATTTTCTTAAAATTCATGAAATTTTTATGATATTATTATTATTTTTGTGTGAAACTTAATATAGATGGAGCTAAGTTCAAAGTTAATACCGGGAATATATGTATTCCAAATAATGGTACAACGCACACTATCGTAAAATCTAAAAAGTGCTTCTATGATTTAAAACTAGTAAAGTCAATAATCAATACAATGTTAAGTCCTGTAGATCTGATTGAGGGGACTGGTAGAGCAAGTTTTGTATTGCCAAATAGAACAAAGTTTTTCATAAATGATGTTCTATTTTCACCAAAATTCAAAAGAATTTGTTGAGTTTCGAAGACATATATCTTCATGGATATGATACACAATCTGAAATTGAAGGGAATAAGAAATATATGTATTTTACAACTAACGTATCAGAAAAGAAGTACATATTAGAAAAACTTTCAAAACTCTTGTTGGGATTACATTACACATATATAAATATGATAGAGTCACACATGGTAGTTAAAGAAGATCCCCAAATATTAACCCTATGGCATGACCGTTTGGGTCATTTTGGTCCAATAATGATGTGAAGAATCGTGTAAAGTTCACATGGACATTCATTAAAAAGCCGGCAGATCTTTCAAATGAATAAAGTTCTATGTGAAGCTTGTTCTCTTGGTAAACTGATTACAAGGCCTTCACCAGCCAGAATTGAAACAAAATCACCTACATTTTTTGAACATATTCAAGGTGATATATGTGGGCCTATAAACCCACCATGCATACCATTATGATAATTTATGGTATTAATAGATGCATCTAGTAGATGGTCACATGTTTGCTTATTATCAACTCCGAATGTAACATTTGCGAGATTTTTTACTCAGATAATTAAATTACAAGCACAATTTCCTAACTATACAATCAAGAAAGTTAGACTTGATAATGTTGGTGAATTCACATCTCAAGCATTTTATGATTATTGTATGTCCATTGGAATTATTATCGAACATCGTATTGCTCACATGCATACAAAATGGTTTGGCTAAATAATTGATTAATAGCCACTAGCTTATTGCTAGCCAAATAATTGTTTAGCTAATGATGGATTCCGCGCCACGGAATGAATTAAAGAACTGAAGACGTTTCCAATACCGACAGCAGCTCCCGCTAAAGCAATTGTAGCAGCTCCGGCACCTATTGATTTTGCACCTTCTAACATAAGGACAAGAAAAAACCTCGTCACGCTTCATTTTTTTTGTTTTTTTTTTAAAGGTAGGGTTTGAAAGTCTTCTATTAATAATGAGAACAAAGTTACCTATTTTTATATGAGGTCATACATTTTTACATGTTGCGGCATTAATTCTCATCAGACTAAGTGCATATAATAAGTACTCCCTTTTACAACTGACATTTAGTCAAGAACCAAATATCTCTCATTTAAGAATTTTTGATTGTACGATATATGTTCCAATTGCTCCACCACAATACACAAAGATGGGTCCTCAAAGAAGACTAGGAATATTCGTTGGGTATGAATCCCTTCTATCATCAGATATCTGTGCCTCAAATTGGTGATATTTTTACGACACGTTTTGCCGATTGTTATTTTAATGAGGTAGTCTTCCCAGCATTAAGGGGAGAAAATAAACAATTGGAAAAGGAAATTACATGGTGTGAACCATTATTATTGCATCTTGATCCTCACACAAAACAATATGAACTAGAAGTGCAAAAGATTATGCACTTACAAAACTTCGTTACCATATGTGTTCACTGATACAAAAAGGGTGATTAAATCATATGTACCAACTACAAATGCTACTGCTCGGATTGAAATCCTAAAAGGACAATCTGAGAATGAAGTCATTAATATATCTAAAACACGCCTAAAGCATAGAAGACCTATCGATTCCAAAGACAAAAATACTTGAAAAAGAATACAACATCTGCGAGATTTACAACATTCAAAAAGCATATTAGTCTGATACAAAAATACAACATTCAAAAAGCATATCCACAGTATCGAGATGTTTCATCTGCGAGATTTATGAAAAAGGCCTATCATGTCAACTTGAGGGGGAGTTTACGTGGCTATACTCTTTTTCCCTTATTATAGTTTTATCCCACTGGGTTTTCCTAATAAGGTTTTAACGAGGCTGCATAAACACGTATAGATAATGATGTACTCTTTTTTCCTTTGCTATGGTTTTTATCCCACTGGATTTTTCCTGACATGGTTTTTAATGAGGCATCATGAATGGTGGACATCTAACGGAGAGTGTTATGAATAGTAGAAGTCCTATTCAATCAAAGTTACTATGCATGTCAGTTAAAGTTATTATTCATGTCAGAACTTATTATGCAAATAGTAACCGTAGATAGTAAGTACTGTGTAAATAGAAACTGTGAATAGTGTTGAAATTTTTTCTATAAATATAGCTTGAGGCATCATGAATGGTGGACATCTAACGGAGAGTGTTATGAATAGTAGAAGTCCTATTCAATCAAAGTTACTATGCATGTCAGTTAAAGTTATTATTCATGTCAAAACTTATTGTGCAAATAGTAACCGTAGATAGTAAGTACTATGTAAATAAAAATTGTGAATAGTGCTGAAATTTTTTCTATAAATATAGCTTTAAGGTTCTTCATTTTTTTATTCTCTCTCTAAAGTTTTTTCTCTTAATTTTACGTTTTCTTAATTTTCGTCACATGTATGAAATTGTTCACAAAAAGCCAAAAGGGGGTACGCACGTATCTATTATTATAGAAAACGGAGAAAAAGAAAGAAAAAACAAATGAGAAAAGATTTAAACAAAAACAAAAACAAAAAAAAACAAAAAAAAAAGAGGAGTTTTGGTTGAGCGAATAGAGCTAAAAGTTCAAATTCGGTTACGAGTTAGTCACATGTGCCTAGCTAGCTATAAGAGCTAGCAATAAACAAACATTCAAATAGGGGTGTTTTTTTTTTCAATTATCTAGATTATTCTTCTTGATATTAAATATATGTGTTGAGATTTCAATACAACCCATAATAGCTGTTTGTCCTTTAATTAGCAAAATACCTTGATATTATCGTCAATAATTTTGTGATTTTTTTTTTCAAAAAAGGTTTTAACTAAGTGTAGGGGGAGCACCAAGTTTTGACACATGACAATGAAGATTATCTTGCTTTTGAGTTAATACCCTCAAAAAGAATATACAATAAATAAACAGAAAACGTACATCATCTGAGCTTAATTAGATAATTTATTAGTAATATCAGAGGCTTCAAGAGATTCCAATATTTTAGACTGCATTCTCACCAAATTGACATTTCAACAAATAACTAACTAATTAAGCTCTATTTTATTTAGATTATGATTTTGCTTTGGCGCATATATATACCAGCTAGCACAAGTCATTTTCTCTCATCTGAAAAATGTGGATATGATACGATATTTATTCTTGAATGTTTACCATCTAATGTTTTGATTAGTGCTAGCTGTATATATAGAATGTACAATGTATTGTGACACCTAGAATGAAAAGTATCCGTAATTTTGATCCAAATTTGTAGAACCAATCTTGAAAAATCTTAATTAATTCTATTATCAATAAAAATTTAATGACCTTAACTTCACATTTCAGAGCCGTCCAAATCCTTATATTAATTTGATTTAGAGAAATCTCAAGCAATTAATTGTAATATAATAATACCAAAAACGAATAATTGGGATCAGTATCATCAGAAAAGTTAACTTGCGTACTCTATTGTAGATTTAAAATGATACGTACGTTCAAATTAATACAAAGTTTTGAAAAAAAAAAATAATAATTAAGGTGAGATTAATCAACCAAAAAATAAGCTGAGAATCAAAGTTTTCTTTGCTTATATATTAATCGTGTTGGTTGAATTTCACCTTTGCCGAGTTTTGATGAACTTTACTTTGCCAAAAATCTCAACACTAGGATGGACAAGTAAAATTATATGATTGAAAATTGTGTCATCTCGTCATCATGGTTTCAACCAAACAAAATTTGACCATGTCGCATAATTCTCACAAATTGAAAGAGAAAAAGAAAGAAATAAAAGGAAATGTGAACAAAGACTTGCTTTGCGGCCAGAAGATAAGGCTTAGAAAAATCCAATTATTTAAGCGATTAAAATGATGAACATTTATAGTAGTTATCTCTTTTATTGGATAATGTTTTATCTCTGCAAATGAATTGTAGATATATATGGTGATAACTATATGTCGATAACAATGGCTCTAGAGTTGCACAAAGGACAAATTCAATTGCAGGCATGACAATATTGTATACAAATACAATACTAGAACTTGCATTTTATTGCTCTTTATGTTAATCTGGATACTTAATGAGAGTTCAATATACTTGTATATGATCACATGAAAAAAAATAATGAAAATGTAATATATTAGTAGTTTTTTTTTTATATTTTATTGTCGTTTGTTTTAACTTTCTAATTTAGTTTTATTTTGTTACTAGTTTATCGTTTATGTTAGTTTGTATTTTGTCATCGTTTTGTGAGTGGACTATAAATAGCCACTTAACTATTATATTAGGAAGATTTGAATATTTTGATAATTGAATTAGAGTTGAGTTTCCTTTTTAATTTGGGAGTTTTCTCATTCGTGGGGTTTTTTAAAGTGAATTTAGAAATTCTCCATTCAGATTAAACCGATAAAATCTCTTTTTATTCATTCTGCTGCATCAATATATTATATATACCACATGAACAAAGTTTGAAAACATGTTATGTTATGATATATCTATATTCGATTAATTATCAAAATACTATATACATATTAGATATAGTAGTGGAGTCACGCGTCAGTAAATGGGGTTCAAATTTGAAAATTTGATTTTTTACATAAAAATTCTCTAAAATTCAGTAGTTCTATCTAATTAAAAAAATTGTAATTATGCTTTCATGTAATAATTAAAATTTATAACTATGACCTTATTCGCTAAAAATAAAATTATATATTGTCTTTTCTCTATTATGTCTCTAAAGAGAAAATTCATATATTTGGATAAGTCAAAGCAAATTTATTATCGTATTATGATATATATTAGTGTGTGTGTATATATATATATATATAATTGGAAGTACTATATATGAGAACACATGCTAGTAGCATGAAAATGTGAGAGCAACTCGGCACATGGTAGCTGGGCTTCAAGCACTTGCAGCCACGTTTAGTGCCACATATATGGACTGGTCCATCAAAATATAGTCCAACTTCTATAGTCATTTATATATAAATGTTTGTTGTTTTGGGTAATCATGAATTTCGAAAAGCCGAAAGCATTTTTGCTCTGCTGATCATATGTATAATTCAGAATCTTCATTTAACGGAACATGATAATGAGTGAGAATCCGAGGAAAAGGCTCGGCGCCATTATATGTTGCAATTTTATGTAAAATGCATGTGAGTTTAGATATGATTCACATGCATGCCTGACATTAATCATATGCATTATATATCAGTTTCACATCAATATCAGTTGTGATCACATTTAGTTATTTATTAAGGAATCAGTTGATCAGAAGATCTTCTCTACAACCCCAGATCAGCTTATTATTAGTTTAAACTTCCTTTCATACATATATACATATACATATACATATATAATAAGGTTTCTTGCCGTCCAAATCTTCATGACTCATTCAGAACTTAACAATATGTTTGGTTACTCTTATGTCTCACGTTTGAGATTTTATGGCCAACTTTTCTCAATCACCTTTATATATATATATATATAATATTTTCCCTAGCTAGTCTTATATTTTGCTTGGGATGCACTGAGGATACTTGAATTTGAGAAATGGCCTACGAAGTTTGGGCCTTGAAAAAGTACCCAAGTCCGTCCACAGATTTATAAGAGACTCCTTAAAATAAGGACCAAACTAATAGTGTTTGTGGTGGATTCCCAAATCTGGTCTTAAATGATTTTTAAAGTATTTAATTGCATCTCTCCCTATTAGTTGCAGCTTTCAGAAGAATAGTTGCGGCACTCCTACATCAGCTCGGTTTCAACAATATGTTTGTTTTTACAATGTTTTTACGCACAGTATACTGAGGAACATGTTTTAACATAACACAAGAAGAAGCCTAGAGCAGAGAACGATTCAACCTCGTGATGATTCAAAAGTCTTAATTTCAAGCTTCCCATTATGCACTATGATACACAGCTCGCTAGACTTTGAATATCAAGCATTTTTTAAATTTTTACTCGAGGAGAAAACCAAGTGAAAACAAAAACAAAAGAAAGGAGCTACAAACATAAGTAAGAATCACATGTAGTTCTGTAATATTTATGCAGCAGCTCCAACAGGCACTGCTCCCTTGAGCCTGGAAGATCCGTATAGAGTTTCTTCGAATCGGATAATCTCGTTTTTTGATCCGTACGCAACCTGAGTTCTATCATCAAGGTTCTCAATCACCTTTTCTAGCACAGACTGATGGCCATCACTACTGAACCCTCCTGCCTTCTCAATCAAGAAACCAAGTGGGGCCACCTCAAACAACAGTCTTAGCTTGGCCTTTGCAGATGGGGATAAGACATTGGTGAAAATACCCTTCTCTTTCACAATAATCTGCAGTGCATTAAAATGTTACTTGTAAACATTTGGAATGTATTATTATATTTGCTAATTTTGGAGTGGAGGATTTGAATTTTAAACTCTATATCTTATGGTGGAGTCAGGTATAGAAAAACCGGAGGCTGTGCATGCAACCACCAAAAACCGAGATACTATATATATGTATATACATAAACATGTGCATATTTCTATTAAGGAAAAAAAAAAAGAAAAAGAAAGAGGCTAATTGAAGAGACCTGGTTGACATCTGGAACCATTCCTCCGGTGTATCTCAAAGTGTACTTCTCTTTCACATAGTAATCAATTAGCTGTTAAGTGAGAAATTAATGAACAAGTATTAGTAAATGAGCACATAATTGAAAATAATTAGTCTTGAAACCAATAGCAAAATGAAAGAATAAAGATCAAGGATAATCACCTTGTTGTATTCCGGATTATCAAAAGTGGCTCTCAAGTTTCCAGGAGAGAAAAGCTTTCCCTCACCAATTTCTGTTGTCTCCTTGACGTGCTGCCATTTTCCTGATCAAATGCAAGAAAGTTTTTGGTTTTAAAACCAGTGGATTTTCTAATCATACTGAGAAAAAGAATCATATGTATTGATCATTAAGCAAACCTTCATCCAAAAGAAGGAATTCGTGTGTCCCGGGAACGTCTTTAAGAGCAAGAACATATGTAGTTCTAGGGCCATAAATCCCCATGGCAGCAGCAACTTGGTCTCTTCCTGTTACTCCAGTCAACTTATCTCCTGGCCACACTCCAAAAATTGTCCCCACCGTGAAATTTGTGTCGACGATGCTAGAACCGTCGAGGGGATCGAAAGCCACACTGAATCCACCTGTTCATGTTGGCATAATTTTCAATTACTTCTTGTGCTTGAATCAACAATATGCAGATCATGATTAATAAATACCGATATCGAATGTTATAGCTGCAGACCTTCAACTGGGCCTCCCATGTCTTGGAGCTCAGGAACTTCCTCGGAACAAGCATACTTGCAGAAGTGGGAGTACCTTAGGGCCTATAATTATAAATAAAATCATTAAGAAACAAAGAATTGGTTTTGGAAAATGCTAAGTAGCTTACATTGATTGAACAGAAATTGCATTTCTTACAAATTTCAACTATAATTTCAGTAGTGTACTTACATAGCAGAATTGATTATATAATGGAATGAGAGGTTGAAAACAAAAACTGATAATAATGAATATGCAATATAACACTTGAAAATGCTTTTTGCTTTTCATATACAAAGAAGCATTTGTTTTTAGAAGTCTTGAAAGGACTCGTAATTTAGGCTAGTTTTTTCCTCAAGGAAGCATTAAACTGAATTACTTAATGTTATCCGTTAATGACTTAGAAACTTGTTTGGTTAGTGGGTTGGTAGAGTTAGTAGGAATTAGTATAAATAAAGGGTTTAGTAGCTCACTAGGTGAGGTTGTGATTTTGAGAGACTGAGATTAGGGAGAGCAGTGGTCTCTCGAATACCACCAAATTAGGAGTTCCCGGAGTACTCGAATTCTCCGTTCTATCATTTACATTTCAGTATAATTTGATGTTTTTGGCTGATTGGATTAATAAAATTCCCTCCGATTATTCTCATTTTCTTGCTGTTTCTGGTGTGCGTGAGTGTGGTATTGGTGTTTGGCTGATTTTCTGAGCTAGGTTCCTAACACTAATACTAATTTTTGGATTGAATATTTACAATTAATTAAGCCAATCTGACCTCAAAAAGAAGGTTGTTTGCAAGCATATCAACTGCAAGCTGCTCATCTCCAAAGGAATTGACACAAGCTGTTCCACCACAAGAAGCTGTTCTCACTTTAAAGGCAATGGTCCTCAATGCTTCTCCCATCGAGTTCAGCAATGCCCTCAGTCCCTTATCAGGCGTCGCCTTTATCAGGAATTCCTCCTATAAATCACATTTTTCTCATTAGTTTTAAACCTTTTTTTTCTTTTTCTAAGAGTTGATCATAGCTTTACAAAAACAATAAAATAGTTTCGTCACTTGTTCTTACCAAGCTTTCGCCTATCTCGCATTTCGTCACTGGCAAAGAAGCGTTCTTCGATTTTGAAACCTTTAGAGAAGATCTTGGCACCGTGCGTAATGATTCCCCGAACAGCGAGCTCGATTTCAGAATCTGCACCGTGTCTTAGTTTGTCATTCTTAAGAGCAAACAAAACTCAAGAATGAATGAAACCATAACAAAAGTAAAGCAACAAGAGGAACTAGAAAGTTCACTAATCTTTCATGAATGGCATAATTCCGATTTTTCAAACGTTTTTAATGTTGCATGCTACTCTAGCCATTTCCAAACTCTAAATACTAATCAATTAACATTTGACTATACATTTTCATTGTAAAAAAAAAAAAAACAAGAAGAAAAAGAAAATTTCCCACCATGTATATAATGATTCTAACACTAGAGCTAAAGTGTTTGTAATAAGTAGATAAAAATTATTGTTAATAATAATTATTATTATTATAATAATAATAACGATGATGATACCTTGGAGTTGAAAGATGGAGAGATGGATGAGGGAGACACAAAAGACATGGAATGCGAAGATGAGATATTAGGAAGGAAAGCTCCACGAGTGTAGCAAGTGATACTTGTCTCCATAATGAAATTATGTTGAAAATTTTTTCCTCAAATTAACAAAAAAAAAAACACCAAGCAAGAGCTTTGATTTCTTCAAAAGCTCTATTTGCTTGCTTTGCTTGTACTAGTACTAGTAATTGTTTTTTGGTGTTTTTGATTATGGGGCATGGAGACTTGGAAGGAGCGCGATAGTAGATAAGTGTTTTGCCACGTGGCAAATTCTGAGATAGATAGGCTTAGAATTAATTAGCTTCACTCGTATGTGTGTGGCTCAGCTACGGCCCTGTGAAAATAAATAAAATAATGACATATTTGCCTCCCTCCAATGATGAGATACGCTTATGAAATATGAAATAACTTCTTCTCTGGAGGAAATGATGATATTCAGTTAGAAGTTCGTTAGATTTTTGCTTCATAGGGATGTGAATTGGATACGTATTTGGCTGACTTATTTTATAGGAATGTGTGGTGCATACGTATTGGCAGGTATTTTTTTGTTCTTGCTTTATAGAAATTTATGGCGCATAATTTATTATTGCAAGAGTTTTTTTGGTGGCATAATGTACTCACTAAAGAGTCCTAGTAGACCCCTCAAAAGATAAATTCTACAATTATCCCAAAAAATAAAAAAAAGATTAAGTATTCTAACGAGTTTTCAACAAGATTGTTTGCTAAAGAAAAGGGTCAAGAGCTGAACTTTTCCATGGCCTTTTTTCAGATTACCTTTTTTTTTTCTTTTAAGTTTTATGAACAGAAAGTCACTTTTGTTGCATGCAATAAGTTCAATAAGAACACTATCCACAAAACAAAAAGAAGAACCAGGAAACACATTGATGAATGACAATAATATGCCCTTTCAAAAAAAAAAAAAAAAAAAAAAAAAAAAAAAAAAAAAAAAAGGCGCAAAGCAATAAATTATGCAAGTTTGTCAAAATTTTGAGAGCCGGAAAAGACAAAAAAAATCACTTGGACAGTCCATTCAACCGAGCACGTTTCTCGGGTTTGTCCCTTTTATCTTTTCCCATTTGTTGCTTGTACTCTTCATACAACTGTAAGGATGATGTTGCATGATCCAACTCACTCCTCAATCTTTGGTTCTCCTTAATGTCGCGAAGAAGCATGAAATGCGACGAGAGTTTCTTTCTCAAACTGTCTTTGTCGACGGAACTTGTGTCAAGAGAGTGCTCAGCTCTGAACGGAACACTTCCTCTTTTCCTCTTTCCATTAGATTGCTTGAGATCATTTGGTGGGCTAAGCGATTGCTGCTCGAGAGACATATCCTTGAAAGCTTGTATGGGGGATACGTTGGAGAGAAAAACTTGGTTATGCGCAATGTTCATGCTTGAAATGCTAGAAGCCACGGTCGAGATGTTGCCATGATAATGCTTTGAAAGAAGATTTAGTTCCCAAAGAACAGAAGCAAGAGCACCACTTAAATTGGGGTCCGAAGCATATGGCTGAAATTTCTGTGCATAAAATACAAGTGAGAGAGTTAGAGATAGTTGTTTGCATTAAGATCTAGTTTGTTTGATTGGGCAACTTCATGAAGCAAGTACCAAATCATAATTGAATAGGCATGACGCTTCACAAAGGAACTAAATGAAAATCGGAACATTTCAGAAACCTATTCTCTGTAACTACAAGACGGCCACGGCCCCATGAAATATAATGCATAACTATTTAACAGAAAAGGAAAAGAGTAGATACATGAAGCAAATATGTAAATTAGCAACAGACCATCGAATCCATGTAAAATTGTATGACAAGAGCTTACCGCAATTGAACCAGAAACTGAGCCACCTCCAGCATCATTTTCCAGCAAATTTCGACACTTGACATTCTTCTGAAGAAGATGCTTCAGAGTGACCAAGGCTGCAAAAGTCCCAAAGGAAAATCTCAAAATTAGAAGGAATCTATAACGCATGTTTGACGACGAAACGGGAACTTGTACAAAAATCCTACCAGCCATTGACTCAGCAGAACCAAAACATAACGAGAAAGTGGCCAGACGTTTTACAAACGCAGCAGCCTTTTGCATGTCGTGTTGTCTATCTTCGCACAGCATGATCTTCAGAGCCTCAGCTAACACTTCTCCTTGATCTCTGTACAACAAAAATAAACACAAATTACACGAAAATAGCAAAACGCAACTAATTCATAAGACAAGTGTTAACAAGCAAAGCAAATGTCACAACGCAAGGAGAAATTATAACCCAAAAAATAAGGGAGCTACAAGACAAATGATTTTCACAGAGAAAGAGAAGAAATAATGATAAGCTCCACCGGGGTTTACATTACCAGGCACTATGCAAAGCATGTTATTTATCACATTTGTTTTCAAAGCAATTAACAGAGATTACGTCCTCAGGCACAATCTTGGAGTGAAAAAGCTTTAGAACTGACCTTCCAGGCATGTACTCGAGGATAATATTGTACAGTTGAACAAAGAAGTCCTGCAGATCAACATTCAAGGCATCAAGGTTGCTCTTCATTACTTTAAAAGCAACAATGCAGCACTGGAGGCGCTCAGATACGGTCAAACTTTTCCCAGAGGTGTTTTCTGAGTTACTACCACCAGCAGCAAGCATTCGTAGATGGTTTATAAGATCGCCCATAAAATCCAAGTCGATGAGATGTGAAAACTTCCCTAAACCTCTCAGACAGGGAGCAAGCAAAGGGTGGGAGCCACTTGCACCAGCATTTGCTTCAGAGCTGAGCAACAAAACAAGGTACAATAACAATTTAGTCCAAGGTGTCAAGGAAAATTTGAAAGCAAACAAAATCTGGCACCCTGCCAACCAGGCAAGCAATTACACAAAGAACGCTAAAAATTAGATAAATGACCAATTTCAAACAATAGTATCGAAGTAACAGATTTCTAGTCATTAGATTATGTATAGGATATATATATAAGCTCATTCTGGCTTATGTAATTTAAAAAATACAATTAATAAAGCTCAAAACTAACCAAAGGGGGGCAAACAGATGATAAGGTTTCATTAACAGTAACAAATTACCCATTATTGTGTGCATGTTGAGCTTAAATATGTGTCCCCGAGGTGTTTGTATGTTTCTAGTATTTACAGTAGGTTGGGGTTGTCACCATTAAAACAAGGTTTTACTTTGCAGATAAGCAAATGATGAAATTTTCAGCTGGTCAACCGAAAAGCAAATGAAACAATTATATCAGCTCATTCTAGGAATTTTTTCTATAATAAATAACCTTTGACAATAACACACTTGAAATGTCGGGAAAAGTTTCAGAAAAGAAAAAATAAAAGAAAAAGAAAACATCACCGCGATAATTCAATGATTACATATTCATACTGTGTCAAGGAGTCCAATCTAAACCTCCTATTTCATATGTTTCTATCAATTTTGGGTGAGTTTCTCAAACCTAAAATGCTATGCAACACTTTGCATCCCTAATCTGCATACCACAATAAGTGTAATTCAACTAACTATACACACAAGATATTTAAAACTTCAGACAGTAGAATCATAATACTCAAGCACAAGAGCAAACCTGGCAGCTACTGGTTGCACAGTATGCTTTAGAACGCGAAAATAGGTCTCAAATACAGCAGAAAGTGTCTCCGACTGCATCCTTCTCTGCTCTATAACATCAGGAGTAAAAGCTACAGACTTGTAATCAGCTTCCACCTAGTACACCATCACAATGTTTACCATCATTATATAAATTAGGAACAATAAAATGAAAGAAACCAGTAAATGACTTAGATTAAAAAATACCTCTCCTCTCATCTTTGACATCAACTCTCGCTTACTCCTTTTTCTGTCATTTTCTGGCAATTTACTTGGCTCCTCCACATTCTTTCTTTTCTTGTTTCTTTTATTTTTTACTTTATTCTTCTCATCAGTTTTTTTAGACCTCCCAAGATCTTCAGCAAACGACAAATGCAAGAAAACCTGAGAGAGTATTACAAAAACTAACAAGTTAAATTGAGGAAATCAAAAAACAATATTTTAAAAAATTCAAAAAGCAAACCACCGTCATATAACTAATATGAACAGTTATTGGCATAAGTTTACAGCCAAAAAAATAATAAAAGAAAAGAAAAGAAAGAAATGTGTTCCACGAAGGACCGATTTAAGTTGGAGCAAGGATATCAGCACAGTGGTAGTGCTGCTCATACCTCAATGGTATCAGGATGCAATTGACAATTATGGGCTTTCACATGATCAGCAATCAATCGAACAGCCTCCAGTGTGGCTTCACCACCATGTTTGCCCTCGTTTGTAAAAATTGACTTTATCGTAGAGCAACAGAGTCTCCTGTTAAAGTAGGAATTTATTATATTGACATAAACTAGAACATTTCCAATGTTCCTAACCTTTCAATGGCGCGTTGTCAAATTCTTAAAAGCTCAGGGTAGAAAGAATATAGAAACTGGAGAACCTTACGACATCATCTGAGGAGCTTATGTTTCTGACAACAACACCTAACAAGCTCTCCCAGAAGTTAAAATGGGGAGCTGCATCGAGCAAAGTACAGATACAGCGGATGGCCACATGTTGGAATGAGGACTGTTTTTCAAGAGCTGCCAGCCTCTGCAAGTATGCCTATTGAACATGCAGTAAATATACAAATAAATCATGATTTGTCATGATTAACTTACAAGTAATTCATATTTTCAAAAGAATAGCAATAGATGTATAACTGATGTTCCCCAATTTATGGCTCTACCACCAGTTTTTTTTTTTTTTTTTTTTAATAAGAAAAGGCCTTTCATTGATAATTAACAAATAATCATCACTTACAAGGAAAAAGGACGAGGAATCCTCAAAGCAAAAACGAAAAGAAATACAAGAAGAAAAAAAGATCAAAGAACAAAAGGAATCTCAGAAAGCATAAAACAAGTTAACGACCAATAACATCCCCCCAATTTAAAATGATCAACGTGAATGGAAAGCCTTTGAATTCTTTATCCAAAGCTGCCCAAAGTGAAGCTGAAAATTTGGCTCTCTCAAACAGGTCTTCAATTCCCATTTCTTTGTCTTCGAACACACGAGCATTTCTCTCCAGCCACAGAATTTTCATAACTGACATGAGCATACATCTCCAAAGGACCTTTGCTTTCTTGTTAGAGCCAAAACCATACATCTCTCCCTCAATCAGGGACTTACAATGAACCTTTAGTTTATAAATTTAGGCCATAAACAAACCCCACAAGCATCTACCTTCTGAAGCAGAAACATGGGTAAAGCCAACAACTTCTAAACTTAAAAACCCCGAACAGAGTCCATCAATAAAGCCCAACAACAAAGCTTTCGTGAGCCAAAATAGTCACATGGCCATAGTCCCATAGATATGGCATCAAGAATAAATTTCAAAATTCGGATTCTAAGAAATTATAATATGAGAAGATGTGTTGGACTGAAAAACCAAAAAGCATAACAAGTAGACAATCCAGTTTTTGTCCAATAACAGTTCTATGGAAAAACAAAGAAAGAAAGAAATGAAACAAAAGAAAAGGACTGACCTTGTATGAAGATAAAAGTGTTGATTCATAATACCGCATCTTTTGAACATCCTTAGAAACTTTCATTTGCAGCTCCTTCTCAGTAGGAAGCCTAATCCGGTACCTGTAGGACACATGAAAATAGTGAATGTTAAAACAACAATATCAAGTACAAAAAGAATAATAATTAAAAAAAAAAAAAAACTGCAATAACAAATACTATGCAAGGACTCGCACCCAGGGATAATATCTTTGAAAACAGCTAACAAAGATAGAAGTCCAAGTTTGACTATTGCATGATCATTATCTTTACAGATTTGTAAGAAGTCCTTCAGAGATTTAATATTAGACTCTGGATCGGAAAGCACTGCAATTCCAAGCTCTGCAATCTTACGCTTCTTATCTTCAAATGCTTCCTCAGCTGTAATATCTTTTTTCACCTCATCCTAAACAAAAAGGGAAAAAAGTAATTATGCGACACACAAAAATAAGGGTCAAGATAAGGTAATCTAGTTGTGTAAAATAATGTAGTTTAAGCAGAATGGAAAGTGTACATATATACATATATACTTAAATATATATATATATATATATATATATATATATAAGAAGAATGGGAAGAGTACATCATATATGCATCTTGTGCATTATGAAAACATGACACGCATATCTTATAGCCATCAACAATGTCAAATCACATAGCTTCCCAAACAGTTTAAGGGCCCATTTGGGAAGTGTATTTGAACCATGATTTGGGTTTTGATTCAAATTCTTTGTGAGAGAACTATTGGCAGGAATTTTTTTTATTCAAATTCTTTGGGCGAGGAAAAATACTGTAGCAAAATCAATGGTTTGGGTTTGAACACATGTACCAAACAACCTCTAACAAATCTATTCAACAAGAATGTCCAAATCCTCAACGTATCTTTGATTGTACTTGCAATATTTTTTTTTTTTTAGTTCACGTTCTGTTTTTTCTCTGTTTTTTCTTTTTTTATTGGAAACAAACTTGTATTAGTTATAAGAATTATGTACAACCTAACGAGGATGTGTCACCGTCGTGAAAAAAAATACAAATACTAAGCTACAAGAATGGATCCCAACTCCTGACAAGGTTAATTCACGATCCATTTGTTAATAGAACAACTACAAGGCAACCAAAACCAAGGCCTTGTTTCATAGGAAGGGAAAGTAGATGGAGGGATAGAGGTCGGAGGATTAGTGGGTGGATTTTAAGACTCATAATTGTTTGGTAGGAGGGATAGGAAATTTAAAATCCTCTGCACGACCCCACTTTTGACCTTCAAAAGTTGAAAGGATTGGAGGAAGGAATCCATACCAAACACAAAAAGATAAAGGTCTTGACATTACTCTTCATTTTCCTCACCTAAGTTATATATCATTCCTTCCTTCTTTCCATCTTAACCAAACACAGCCTATAAATAAAATATCAACCGCAAAGGAAACAAAAGAAGACAAGAACCTCCAAAAAGAACATACCAGGACAGCTGCTTGAGGGGTTTGTTCCACCTCAGTCTTAGCCAACTCCGTCCCTTGTTTCTTTGCCTCTTTCTTACTCTTCTTAAGCTTTGCCCTCCTTTCAGCCTTTGTCAGCTTAACAACGCTTTGATCGGCAGTAGCTTCCTTATCATCATCACCAGTTTCCCCTTCTTCAGATGGCCTTGAGGTCTTTGTAGCTATACCACACAGTAACAAGGGGAACCCCCATACTTACAACTTGAAACACAATGTACACCCAAAGACAACAGTTTGCGTCTGAGAGAGAGTAAGATGAGAACAAATGGAAACCTGTCCGGTAGAGAAGTTGTCCATCCAATGTTTTCACAGGAAGCGCATCAACAGGATCCACTTCAAGCTTATTGTCCTCTTGTTCTTTCTGCAGTTGTTTTTTCTTCAGCCGCTTCTCATACAAAGCTTCCAAAGCATCTTCTTTAACATCAGCAACACGAGTAACATGCCTTTGTACGAAAAGAGAAAGTTAATCAGATGCAGTAGCAGCAAAACAAAATTCAAGTCAGAAGAAGAAAAGCCATTAAAAAAAAAAAAAACAGAAAATACATAGACTTTACAATCCAGATACCAAAATACATATCTACCAGAGCAACTAACCAAGAAGACTTCTAAACAAACGAATCAAAAGAACGTAAACATAAATTGCTCGAGGCACAACACAGGGCCTTGTGCTGAGATCTCACAAACAAAGAAATGTTTGCAAACACCGTAAAATGTCATGGATTATCATTCATATAAACCTTAATGCTCACAAATTTCAATCTTTTGAAGACCTCAACAATATTTTTTTTTTTTCAAAATTGGCCCTAAACACATTTAAAAAAAAAAAAAAAAGTTCCCAAGAAAATGCCTAGACCAACAAAGACAGATTGTCCACAAATTTATGAAACTAAAAACGAACTCTCTAGCTTATTAAAGCTCCAATTCCAAACTCTATCAGACATTACACTTTTTCTCACCTAAATTCTACGTAAACAAGTTTGCTACAATCAAAAATTCCTTTTTTTTTTTTTTTTCCTGAGACAACAAATTCACATTTCTAGCAATGAAACATATATGGTGGAAAATCTTCACTATCCAAGTTGATAAATTAGCAACAACCAAAAAATAAATATATAATTAAACCTAAAAAAAATAAACCTAATTAGCAGTTCCCTCCTCTGTTGGTATCCAAAAAGCAAAACTTTATGCCAAATCAATCATATATCTCAACAGAAACCTTAAACCAATCAAATACAAAGTTATACATTAAAAACAAGAATTAAGATTATCTAATTAGATAAAAGGGGATTGGCAAAATGCGAACTTTGTGATGGATTGAGTGTCCAAGCGGGAGACAAAGCCGGCGTAGTCTCGGTTCTCGTCGACGAACTGCAAGTCCTCGTCGGAGACTTCGATTTCGTTGTCGGAGGTCTCAGGCGGAAGCTCCGGCGGAAGGATGATCTTCTGCTTCTGGCCTTTCTTCCCCATTCTCACGCTCGCTGTCCACTGCTTCGGTTAGGGTTTTTGTATTTGGTAGTTGGTACGAGAGGGGTTTAAGCCACAGCAGAAGGAAGTTTGCAAAAGGTGCTAAAAGATAGGGTTAATTATGAATTGACCCCGTACTTATACCGGAATGTTAAAATTAGTCCTTTTTTCA